CCCCCAACAATTTACTTTCAACGCAGCAGCCAAAGTGAACTCTCTAATATATTTACATCAGATTCTATCACTCCTCTGCTTGAAACTGTTTATGGTTCCCCATCTCACTCAGGAAAATCTGAAGGCTGCAGGCCTTCCGGACTCTGCCCTCCCGGGCCCACTCTTTAGCATTATTACAAACCCTCCTCTTTGTGATTCCTCTGACCCACAGAGCATCCTGCAGCCCTAGGGCTTGGCACTTATTACTCTCTGCACTTGGAACACTCTTCTTCCTGACGTACACCTGCTCTGACACAGAGCTCTGTTTTCTTCCTTCCAGCCTCTGCTGCATGTCCACTTACTACCAATGTCCTCCCTGACCACCCCTCCCCCCAGCACTGCCTCTGCCCCTTCCCTGCTAGACCATGCATCACCTTCTGACGTGTTACATGTTTCATGGTTTTTACTTGCTTATTGTCTTGCCCACGAGAAGTAAGCTACCTAAAGGCAGGGTTTTGTTTTTAATGAGCTTCAGTCCACAATATATTCATCAATGCCTCAGACAATGCCTGGCACATGATGAGCGCTCGAAAATATTTACTGAATGAATAAATGATGAACACAAGTTTCCCACCTGTTTCAGGACATGGGCCAGCCTGACTTCTAAGCTGTAGGCAAACTGAGATTTGTGAGGCCTGCTAGTGACGGAAGGGAAAAACGTGTCTTATTAAACCACGAGCTCATATTTCTGTGGAAGACTGAGATATTGGGGCTTTTTCCATTATCGTGACCTGCCTCTAGCCCGTCCTCAGTCTGTACATACATGGGGATGTCTGTCCTCAGTCTGTACATACATTGGGATGTCTGCCCTCAGTCCGTACATACATTGGGATGTCTGTCCTCAGTCTGTACATACATTGGGATGTCTGCCCTCAGTCCGTACATACATTGGGATGTCTGTCCTCAGTCTGTACATACATTGGGATGTCTGTCCTCAGTCTGTACATACATTGGGATGTCTGTCCTCAGTCTATACATACATTGGGGTGTACTGAATAAAGAGCTTGTATTCCTACTTTTCAAGCAGCGGGTGAATAAATGAAGCAGGAGCTGGGGGTGTCAGCATTAGAGGTAAGTCCACAGAACAGAATTTTCCCCAATGGATAGCCGAACGAGCTAAGTGAGGATCAATTCTCTATTTGCTCCTGAATAGAATTTTCCAGACCAAACTGCAGCTAGAAAGTTAAAGGTGGAGGGAAGGACCGGCCCAATTTTTCTGATTTTTTTTTGTATAAAGTACTTAGACTCAGAGGAAAAGAAATTAGAAGAAAGTTGGAGCTGTAGAATTAAAAAGAAATAATTATCTGAATGCAGAGCGAAAGGAGGGAAGGAAGAAGATAACATTCAATAATAATAAGGTATGCATTGAATAGAGAGAGCTTATATTCCTACTTTTCAAGTAGGGGATGAATAAAGGAAGCAGGAGCAGGGGGTGGCAGTGTGCCAGGGATGTTGGTAGCTGGAGAAATGTGGTCAAAAGTTTGGAGAAAAGTATGCTGGTAGATTGGAGAGTATCTCCCACCTTTCATTTACCCACTTGTGGCTTCCAAAGAAATGCTAGGCAGAAGCCACCAACACAGCCCATCTGGCTGCTGGAGAAGTCATCGTGCATTAGGTCTCAAGAAGCTATGGCCACCCAAGGCTGGATTTGGCTGCTCTGGTTTAAAAGAGGTAAGGTAGGAGGCGCCTGGGTAGCTCAGTCGTTAAGCATCTGCCTTCGGTTCAGGCCATGATCCCAGGGTCCTGGGATGGAGCCCCGCATCGGGGTCCCTGCTGGGCGGGAAGCCCGCTTCTCCCTCTCCCACCCTCCCGCTTGTGTTCCCTCTCTCGCTGTGTCTCTCTCTGTCAAATAAATAAATAAAATCTTTAAAAAAAAAAAAAAAGAGGCAAGGGAAGAGGCTACCTCAACAGCCTGAATGCTGTCCAGCTTTTAGTGCGTGCAAGTAAAGTTGGAGTCTGAGAAGGTGATCTCCTGAGACGCCCAACCCAAAACCACGAGGGAAGCTGGCTATAGAATTCCCCACCCAAATACCCATCACAAAACTAGCACATGGCTAAAAGCAACATTCAGGCTAAAATTAACAACAACACAAGAAACAACATGTTGGCAAGGATGTGGAGAAAGGGGAACCCTCTTGCACAGTTGATGGGAATGCAAACTGGTGCAGCCACTCTGGAGAACAGTATGGAGGTTCCTAAAAAGTTAAAAATAGAACTACCCTACGATCCAGCAATTGCACTACTAGGTATTTACCCACAGGATACAAAAATACAGATTCGAAGGGGTATGTGTACCCTGATGTTTATAGCAGCATTATCAACAATAGCCAAACTATGGGGAGAGCCCAAGTGTCCATCAACTGATGAATGGATAAAGAAGATGTGGTGTGTGTGTGTGTATGTGTATTTATATAAAATTTATATATTACATAAATATATTTTATATATCTTATGGAATATCACTCAGCCATCAAAAAGAATGACATTTTGCCATTAGCAACAACATGGATGGAACTAGAATATTATGCTAAGTGAAATAAATCAGTCAGAGAGAGACAAATACAATACAATCTCACTCATATGTGGAATTTAAGAAAGAAAGGAGATGAATATATGGAAAGGGGGAGAAGAAAAAAGGGAGAGAGGGAAACAAACTGTAAGAGACTCTCAACGATGGAGAACAGGCTGAGGGTTGAGGGAGGGAGGTGGTTGGGGGATGGGCTAGATGGGGGATGGGTATTAAGGAGGGCACTTGTAATGAGCACTGGGTGTTGTATGTAAGTTATAAATCACTGAATTCTACTTCAGAAACCAATATTGCACTGTATATTAACTAAAATTTAAATTAAAAAAATAAAAAACAAAAGCAAGATTCAAAGACACTTTTTAAAAATATTTTAAATATGTATTTAAAATATGTATTTCTACAACTGCAATTGTCCTTTTTCTCAAAGTTGCTTGCCTGATTATTTTAATTTATAAAGTTTATTTATACTCTTTCTCAACAAGGACTCAAAAGTAATTCAGAAAAAAATGTATAGCATAAAAATGTTTTTTAAATTAAAAAAATCAGGACCAGAGGAAATATAAACTAGAACTGAAAGTCTAGTCTGGAGGGAAGTAAAATATGTTCATCACAGTGTTCTAAAAAGTTCTCAAAGTTAAGCAGTAAACTTGGCTTTCTGTTAACCGAGCAGTCAAAGCGAAAAGAGAAACAGAACCAGTTACATGATTCTCCTGTCCACACAGAGAAAATATTTCAGTTCCTTAGGGGAAGCAAACGATTTCCTGGAATTCAGATCTGCAAGAATTTCCTCCCATGGGGCTTCATATAGGAGATCATGAGTACTACGTAAAGGAGAACATCTAAAACCACACCCCTACCATGGGGTTTCCTAAAGCTGTCCTTGGTAAATGTCTGTAGGAAAATCAAGGACACATACTTCAGTTAAAACCATTCTCTCAGAAATGAAGACAATATAAACCAATAGGAACTAGCATACACCTTTCTTACAGTTCAGTTTAATCTAAGAAGCCAACCTTGACTATCTTGAGGAATGAACGAATTTATAATCCTTCAGTTTTTTCACAGATGCCACATTTACCAGGAGAGCTAAATGTCGAACTCAAAACAGAGGAAATTTACTAGACGTTTTGGTTCTTCTTCGCCCTTGTAATTTTCATTTTTGAAAAAATACGTTTCTATTGCAGTGAAATAAAGAATGTATGTGTTCTTCCTTTTTTTTGGGGGGGGGGGTTAAATTTTTAAGTGCCCAGAACAATGCCTGGCAAATAAGTGCTAAAAAAGTATTCATTTTAAAAGTGGGGGGCGGAAAGCCTTTCATGTCACTTGAGGGGTGGGGAAAGTGGTTGTGTAAATTAATTATACATAAATAAAATGAGCTGACTGCGATTTTATACCTCTCTTGTATCCACCAATTATGATGATTCTTCTGAAAGCAGCACAGACTCAGTGCAAGCCCTTGACTGTTTTAATGTGAGAATGTGACATGAAAAATCTGGTAGAGGGGGATTATTATAATTTCACGTAGAGGAGAATTCAAAGGTTTTGAAATATCAGAGCCTTTAAAATATCCTCTCCGATGGAACAGCTGGACCTTCAGAATCCATTACAACCTAGCCAGCCCTTCCTTTTAACCCACTTCCACATTTTAAGTCTCTGTTCATGGAATGTGTCTAATTTGTTGTTTGGTACATTGTGGGCATTCAATAATGCTCTATCGTAACAATGGAAAAAATGCTAAAGAGCTTCATTATCACATTTACTTGTGACTCCGTTTCCTTTCCTTAATCTTGCAAAGTGATTTTTAAAATGCAAGCATAACATTACAAGAAACTGAATATATTCTGGAGGCATGCATAAAGTGGATTTTCTACATTTGTAAGAACAAATAATCCACATGTATATTTAAACCATTTGTCTCAACAATAACAGATGTTCAATAATACAAATGGGAAGTAACTCAAACTGGTGGAGGTCTACCGGGAAGATTATGGAAATCGGACAGTGAGAACCTGGGACAAAATCAGATGAAACCCCCTCTCCTACTGCTACAATTATTCTTTGACTCTTGTCTTCTGCATGCAACACCCATGTAAGGCTACCTACTAAATATTTAGCAAAGTAAAACAACTAGTTTTGAATACAGAGAGTCTGTGAGTTATCCAACTCAAGGTTCAAGAATCAGGTGTTTTGTTTTGGGGGGGGTTTTTTGCTTGAATTTCCTATTTCAGATGTCTGTTTCTGCCACGATAGATTCTACCACAATCAGGGATTCATCCTTTTAAAAAAAAAAATTAGACAAATACTTGCAAATGGATAAAATGCTTTTTTAGGGCCACATCCACACAATCTGCAGTGCCAACAAAGTTCCCACACAGAAGATTCTCACAGGGGTTAGGGGAGGCACCTGCCAAGGAGTCCATTCAAGCAAACCTACCCGCTTGCTGCTCTCCTCCTCCTGAGCCTTCCTGAACTCATGCTCAAGGGAGCAGTCCAGCTCATTGAAGAGCCCCACTTCCTCACAGTTCTTCAGGAATCTCGTTGGGGTCGGAGTCTGATCTGAAAACAGAGACCGAGTGATCATACATGGGTTCTTTTCCTCAAAAGCCAGGGGTAAGCATGAGCTCAATTCACGAATCCCTTCCCCTCGCCTTGATTAAGATGCGAACTGGTCATCCATAATCTTCCACCCTTTTAAGTAAGATGACAATATGAAAGAAAATAAAACCACAAATCTCACAGGAGGAATACAATGTATAAAAGGCTGCATATGTGAGGGTTTTTTAAACTTCCCCCATCAACTTTCTGGGGTCCCCATCACTTAAATACACATCGCAATGTGTGGAATGACTTTTTTTTTTTTCTAAACAGGAAAAAAGAATGATTTAGCTAAAACCAGGCCAAAAAAAATCTGCTGAGCCAATGTTAAGCTTGATTTCAGGGGGCTGGGAGGAAAAAAAAAAAGGTTTTGTAAATGTTTATATCAAACAAAAAGAAACAAACAAGCACATTAATTCCTTTCTCTTAATGGAAAAGGAAAATACAGCAATTCTCTCTCTCATTTTGAGAGTCACAGAGGATGATGAAAGTTTCCAAGTCAAACACATTCAGCTTTCATCCATTAAAAATATAATTATTAATTTTATTTTCCTTTGCTATAGCCAAAGGAATGTTCTGAGAAAACTCTTTAAAAGGAATAGAATTTTTTTCATATTGTTGACTGTCTAGCAAGCATACTACTTAGGAAACTTGAGGATCTGAAGCCACTATTTGCGGCTTAATATTTATGTAGCCTTTGCAGTTTACACAATGGTTTCACACACATTCTCTATAATCTAGATCTCACAAAAGCCTAGAAGGTAAATAGGGTAGAATTATACTTTTGTAACCACTAAGGACAGTCATCTTCTCTGGTAAAGATGTCCTGGAGTTGACATGAATAAAACTGTACACTGTCCCTTTCTCGGAAACAGAAGATGGCCATGCTAATTATTTTGTAAATGAGGAAAATGAAAGTCCTGGGTGATTCAGAGTCTTGTTCAAGGTCTCCCAGGTAGATGTGATGACACCAGGATTATAAGCAAGGCCCTGCTACCCTTTCCAATATGCACATGTATTGTTCCCACCTAAGCCGACAACACACACACTGCTAGAATGATGATGGCACTTGTCTGTCTTGACCCACACTCAGTCCCTAAATCTCTTTCTGTTTAGTTCTCAAATGCCTCACCACCAAGCAACTGAAGAGTGCCCTCAAGTTGAAATGAATGTGCCATTTCTGCACACTCTTTATAAATTCCTGTATGACAAGAAACTAGAATCGTATTTACTTTCCTAATTCATACAGAGAGCAGTAAATCATCCATTGAGATTCAAAGAAATAGCTTAATATTCATGAAGCTGAAAACAGCTTGATATCCCCATATATTCAGCCCTTCTAGGGCAAGGTCTCCTGATGCCCTATGGCAAGGGGCTTTTCTACCTGTTAAGCACCCAGCTTGTTGACTTGGATTTCAAGGCAGCAAAAATCCCCTTCTGCATTCTTTCCCATTTTTAGCCCAACCTCCAAGATACTGAGCTCTCTTTCGAAGTATACAGAAAGCCTACCGCAGATGGTCATAAATGGACATTACAGATAAAAGCCATGCAAAAGTTGGGTTTGATTGAAAATGGTTTTATTAGCACATTAATTTATTAAGATTCACACATATACACCTATGTCCCGATACACATATAACACGTATATGTATATATACACATATACGTATATAGTGTGTTAGATGCTTATAAAAGAAAAATTAGTATTTGTGAGCATTTTGCAGCTTACAAACATTTTCACCTACGCTGTCTAGAATCTAGATCTCACAAGATCCTACAAGGCAAGTAGGTGCACATTATTTTAGAAATGGAGAGGTAAGTACCTTGCATAAGGTCACAATTTGCAAACATTTTATCACTATTAAGTCCTCTTTTATGTTCAAACATAACCCCTTCTCAATCTAAATCCTGTGCTTTGCCCAGACTCTCCTCTGGGTCTGAAGGACTCTTACGTATGTAAAAGACAATGCTGACAACCCAGAAATCTAGACTTGAGAACTGTGTGATTTGGAGGAAATTACCTACATTCTCTGGACCTCATATTCCTCATCTTTCAAATAAAGTTCTAAAGTTACATGGTTCTGTGAATCCTAAAATCACCACCGTAATGGGTTCTCTTCAAAAGTCACTGTCAGTAGATCAAAGAAACATGACCATTTAAAGGACAGCTTAATGGCAACATCTGGAACAGCTGGCTAGACACTGGAAATTAGGCCAGAAGTAAAGGCCAGATAGACAGATAAAGAAGTTTCCTGAACAGAAGGTGTAAATAGACAAGACCTGACAGTGGAAATAAAGGTGTGTGTATGTGTGTGTGTACATATTCTTCCATTTATTGGGTGCTTATTGTCAGAGATAGTGCTAAGTGCTTTGTATGATGCGCCATCTCATTAATTTTTACACCAACATTTGGTAAAAAAAATCATTTCCCCCTTCTACTTATGAGGAAACTAAAACTCGCCCCAGGCCCTATTTAGAAACTGAGTCACATAATTGTATCGGTAATTGACAATCCTAACCATCCCTGGTTCTTTTAAAGTATCTTGGAATCACTAGATCCCTCCTATAATAGAACCATGTTACAATCCTACAGACCTTCTACTATCTCGCAGGCCATCTTGTGAATAAAAAACCTGAGAAAACAACACAGGACGGAACTTAAGTATTAGATCATTCGTCATCAATAGGAATTTAGTTTGCCAGGTTTTAATTTTTCTTCTGTTCCTCTGTATTTCTCTATTGGAGATTTACAAGTTGAGGACCATGATTCCAGGTAGAGAGAACAGTCATCCTAGCAGGATCCATATGACTCCTGAACTCTGAGATGAGTTCATGAGATGGGCCATCAAACTGAATTCAGACAGGCATTTGGAGGCCAAGCCCCAAGAAAGTTGAGAAATGTCTTCTGTCTTCCCTCAGCAAAATTATCCCAGGATTCCAGCATGTGCACATATACACACATACATCAGCAAAGGAGGTGGAAGGAACATGGCATAGGGATAGTACAGGCAACTTCCACCACCATGAGCCTCTGTGCAGCAACAGGGAAACAAAAGGTATGAAGCAAGGGGAGCCATGGGCCCTAAAGAGAGTTGGTTCCCTCCTATCTCTAGAGCAGAAGACCCAGATGGAGGAGGTCACAGCGTTGTTATGAAAGGTGACTTTCTTTGCTGTGTGATATAATGAGGGAAAAGCAAAACCGGTATCTATATCCACATTTGGAAGAGATAAGGCATGCTGTTCCTAATTTTTAATTCATTTTCTTCTTGTGAATGAGCTATTCTTTCCAGTTACAACAGGAACCAGAAAATGGAGCTTAACTTTTATTTTAACATTTATAGAATTAATACAAGGTCTCTAGCTGTCTTTGATCCCACATGGTACCAGTTCCAAGTAAGCCAGGAAATGTGCAAATCTTCAAAAAGGGGACAGCTAAATCTATCAGCAGCTTAAATAAAAGAGTCAGTTTCTCAGCCACACGAATGCTTTGTCAAGTAAGTATTCCAGCTGAAATTAGATCTGAAGTAGGTGAGTAATATCCATGGCCATAAATTAAAGTTCTGATAAACCACACCTTCTTTAGAACCAAGGGCATGCACCAGCTACGGCAGCAGCAATTTCTATGTCATGAGTAACAGTGGCTGGTGCTCCGTTGGTGGATAATATCTAAGGTGTGTTCAGGAGTAACAGGCCACACTCGAAGGACTTCCAGGAGCTGGCTCCAGTGGGAACTCAGAGCCGACATGCTCACTGGAGGACTTCTGCTCACCTTTCTTTCAGTGTTTCCACTTGAGTGAGACCATCTGAATGCGAGAAAGAAATAACCCCAAATCTCAAACTAAACTCAAAGTTAATAACTTTTGAGTTTGGGCTTTACTTGAGTTGAAAGTACTTTGTTGTTACTACCTTTGCAAATCTGAATTGTCCCTGCATAAACGCCCACAGGCTGCTTTCTCCCAGGGACTTTGCAAGAGCACAACACTTTCTCAGGACACCCAAACAGCTGGGACCCGGGCAAGTAAGGCATCCTAGCCACTTTTACCTGTCTGTATTATATGTCCTTAAGATTTCTTTAACACTTGGACAAGACTGGCACCAAAAGGGATTAAATAAAAAATCCCTTGTAAAATTTGTCATATTTCAATATCTGGCTCCCTTCCTGGAATGGTGAGTCTGTGCCTTGAAAAAAGGAGTACCTTTTCATGGAATTTCTGCTTCTGTAAGCAGCTAGGTAGACGATTCTTGCCATGCAGAGACCCTGCTTGTATATCTACCTGAGAGTGCCACAAGCTTGACATTATGGTTTAGAATTTCACCCCTCAGCTATGTGACCAGAAATCCTGCACCCCACTACATCTGGGAAGGACCACAAGTATATGGCTACAACTGTTAGAGGAAAAAAAAGAAACTCACTACAGTCCATAGTCTGCCTAGCATCAAATGCTTCAGCCCCAGCAAGTATGATTATTCCAAAGTCCAAATGACAAGCACAAAGCTAAAGCCTGAAACCTGATTCTTCTTTTAAAAAGTGTTTAGTCTGCTCTACATTTAATAATAGGTTGCTACCTTATTCAGTTTCAGAGCTGCATTTGAGCTACATGTTTGTCTATGTTTCATTTTCCTCGATGATAAAAAGGCAAGGCGACAAGTCATCAATTAAAAAAAAAAAAGTAAAAGCAGAGTTCCGATAATATACCAGAGAAAAAGAATGCAACTCCCGAAGTAAAATCTTCTTTCCAGTTGGTCTAATGTTCTCAATGGTATCACTAAAGGAATAGGAGAAGTAATTTTACATCATTTTGTATTACATTGACAGTGACTGGGAATACTATAAAAGCCCCACTAATTCATACCAGTTATAAGAAAGATCAGTTTGAATTGGTGACCATTCTAATTATAGGGTACTTTTTTAAAGGTAATGCATGTTTATTATTTGCATGACTCAGATTCGGCCAACAAAA